TCTTTCCAATTGCTTAAATTGGAAAATTTACTGCGATGATCATTCTTCACTTTCATCTACAACCGAGAAAAGGTTGGGCAAAAGCTGAACGTAGTCCAGTTCTGGTCCTCTCTCTGTCACGCAACGCTACGCTCGTGGCGTTGCATGACAGAGGAGGGGTCAGAACCGGACTAAAGGTAACGCTGTTAACAGTAAGTTCGCTGTTAGAGAAAGTGGAAAAAACTTCGAAATTGTTGCACGAGGGGATCTTTCTTTTGCGATGAACATTTTCATTAGACTATCACGTGCAAACTCGAAGCGAGGTTGTCACGTGCGCGTAATGTTTCACACTTCACCAACAAAACTTTTTAAAGCATATTTTATTCTATGCAATGAATTTAGAAATATATTAAGTCCATAAAAAGTGTGCAATTCAGCGCATTACCATAGCTGTATTTACAAAGCTAGCCTGTTTTAAGCTCTCGTTGGAATTGTTTGGGGGAGAGCGAAGCAAATAAAAGACATTTCTGCGGACAAAACTGAAACAAATAAAGAACTACGTTAGCCTTTTCCACACTGTAACAAAACGTAAGATCACTGACAATTATTTATCAACAGTTTTTTTGAGTTAGTACTCAATGCTAGCAATCGGCAATGACTTAAAGGAGCTCAGTCACGTTATTTTGAGTTATTTTGGCCACGTACAAAATTACCTTTAAATTGGAGGAAACCTGAAAAGAGTAGTTTACTAAGATAGAAAAACATTAAAGAGATAATAATAAACCATACAAGAACAAAAATGTTTAAGGATGGAAAGGATTAACATGGATTACAAATGACGAACTTGAAAAATGCGAAAGATGCGCCAACCTTGAGGTACTGAGGCTCCTTTAACTTGAGCCCTAGCCTACGCTGGAGTCATGTGAGAAGATTTTAACTCATGTTTGAAATAAGAAATAAGTTTTCTTAATACTTTGCCCATGAAAAAATTCGCTAGTTGGATACAGGGCAAAAAAGGCTTCCAGGCTGCAACTACTCCCAATTAATACACTGCGAAAGCGAAGAAAGAAAGCAACGACCAGAGAATTAAAAAATCATTCTTATCACGAATGTAATTTGGCGAACCCGTGTCGTAAACAGTCTTTCTCGGCGAGGATAAAAGAAACAAACGTATATTTACAATTTATCAGAAGTTTATAGTATTTTAAACTTCTGACTATATACAATGTATAAATACAGTCCTATTCCGCTAAATCATCACCAGCCCTTTCGCGCCATGGGACGCATTAAGCCTTAATGCAATAAATAGGCGTCGTTGCTCCTTAACTCAGACATCTTCTCTGAAATAGACCCGCTATGGTCAAACCGAAGGGCTTTCAACTGCAGTTGTCATATAGAGCTTAGAAATGCTCCAAGACCTATGCGGAGAAAGACGAGTTACATTGAAAGTAAATTCACGATTTCAAGTCGAAACACAAAAGAGGATTAAAGTTTTGCAGTGTACAGCAAAAAACCGCGTGTAAGAAACTACATTTTTTGAAGACTTACAAAATAGGTTCTTGCAATTCGGGGTAGTTATTGGCAATTTAGGCTAAATAGGTTCTTAATTAGGTCTTAATTTCTACGAAGGAGATATAGCTGTTGATTACCAGACAAATAAGTAAACTTTGGTTTGGTCCTTAAATGTACAGTATGTATTCACAACTGTATTAGGTCTTTTCTTGTAATATAAATTTTCAATCTGAAAGTCCCACTCCTTGGTTAAAATGTTTACCATAATTTAACTGTAACCCGCGTATTAGAACCTGCTTGATCTTGTTGCTAAACAGGTTCTTATACCTTTGGGTATTAAAATTGCAAATTTCTGCCAGCAGGTTCCTAAACCGCCATTAGGTTCTTACACGTGGGTTTTCACTGTATTTGAAATATCGAAGTTAAGGTTTGTCTACAAGTTACTCAACTATCGCTTTCAGCGAAGCCTCATACTTGGTCAGCTCCGCTTCGAATCTTTCGCAATCCCTTTTCTTCGCCGTAATTTCCGCCTGTAGCATACCTTCGTCTCGCGTGGCCTCAGTCATCTCGTTCCAGGTTTCTTGGAGTTCTTGCAGCAGCTTCTGTCTCCGTTCCTCCGTGTTGGTAATCCGCTGACGCACTTGCGCGAGGGCCTCCTCTTTCTCCTCCAGACCCCTCCGAGCTTGGACCAACTCCTGTTGAAACTTGGCGTGCAAGGAGTTCAAGAAGTTCTTCTTCTCAGATCGAGGCATGGTCCTAATACCGGAGATAATGGAAGACTCTTCGTTGTTGTTCTTGCTCTGATTTGCTGTAGGGTGTGCTACATTGGTAACCTTAATGTGATTGGTTGTCGCAGACTCAGTGTTATTTCCAGAGTTACCATTGGCTGACCAGGAAGCCGCAACGACCATGCCGTCATCAGCTGGCGGAAGTGACGTAGAGCTTGCTTTTCCGGGCGACGTCTTCACGACCGGAGGCAATGGCGTGTTATCCGAAATGTCAGAAGGACAAGGCAAGTCGTTCACTATGACTGGGCTTTCTCTAGAAGGCGCCGTTAAATGACCTACTTCTCCAGGTTCCTTCTTGACTGTAAACAGCCTGACACGAGCAGCAGCGCCATCTGGAATGACGGGACTCATTGCATACTCCATAGGGTGAAAAAGGGTAGCTGGTGGTGAATGTATGGGCGAAGAGTCTGGTGGGGCATCTTTTTCAGGGGTCTGCAGTAGGTCCTTCAAAGGGCGCTCGTCCTCAGAGAGCTCCTCCTCAGGGAGCTTCTCCTCAGGGAGCTCCTCCTCAAGGAGCCCCTCCTCAGGGAGCTCCCCCTGAGGGAGCTCTTCCTCAGGGAACTCCTCCACAGGGTCATCATTACCACCTACGTTGTTCCAATCTTGGTCCCGTGGCCGAAGAATTCCCGCCATTTCGTACGAGCTCAAATCCTCGGCGAGATCAGACGGGGTTTTGCCTTGGGCGTCAACAGTTTCCTTAAGGACTTCCATGATTTCCGGGTCGATGTTTTTCAGGACGCTCTTTATAACGCGATGCCCCACCCCGTGTCTGCAGGCCAAGATGTGCAGAAACGTCTCCTGGCTGTTGTTGGTCTTCAAAAGAAGTTCTCGTACAACATCCGGCGTGAGTTTTCCGGTTGATCTCAGACGGGTCAACTCTTTGACCAAACGTTCAAAATAACCTTCATACGTGTTCATTCTCTCCAACTCGCCCGTACAATCGAGGATCACTTTTGCCAAACAGTGAAAGGGCGTGTCACCCTCCTTGTTACAAATCGTGATAAGTCTTGGAAGGTTTTCTGTTAGCGTTCTCAGTGTCTTTGAAAAGACCTCTAAAATGGTCTTGCTGGGGCTTTTCTTCCGTACCATGGCCCGGTCAAGGGACAGCAGCATTCGGTGCAGCCCGGTCTCGCCAGTGCGTTCAGACTGCACGCCTAGATTGAATTCCTTCATGGCTGCCAACCTCTCCAGCACTTTGAATTTGCCGAGGACGCAGGCCCAGTGGACCAAGGGATACTTAAAGGAAGCGACCGGGTCAGGGATGTCGGCATTAGCGCGTACACAAGAGAACTTTCCCAGTTGATTCACGTATTCATTAACTTGTTTCATGAAGGAGTCTAGATAAGCTGTAGCTGCGCCATAATTGTAATTGGAACACTTGAGGAGGCTTAGCAGGAGCTTGTGGTGTTGAAATGTGCAATTACTGCCGCAAAACGGCGTGTGCTTAGGTGCTGCAACCAAACAAAGAAAGAAAATTCAGGGTTAATTCTCTACTTTGAAAACATCCAGACTTAAAAAATTAATTAGACCCACTTAATAAACGTAAGGTAAAGTCTGACCCATTAGGCCTGCACTTAGCTCCAGTACTCCAAAGCATGAAGCGACTAGGAGTGTTTTTACTACCCCCTGGATAGAATGCTACTCCATTGCTGGTTTACACACGCCACTTAAAATCTGGACTTCAGTAGGATAAGAAAATTGCACACTGTCCCTTCCGGGGAGGGGGCCTCCCCTACAAAAAGGACAGGGGTGCCCATCGTACCTTTCACGGGTGTTCAGTATCATAAGGTCCATAGCGGGAGCTTTTGCAGTACCTGTCAGGGTATTGAGCCGAACAGGACAGGAGATAATGTGTTGTTTTACAATTACAACCTCTTAGTGGTGAAAAAAATTTCAAGCCACAACCAAAAAACACGATCTTGGTAACTCTAAGGAGTTCTTTTCAAAATTTCCAAAAATCCTGACCTCCTCCCCTGCCCCCCGGGCTGTCCCTAGACTTTTTTAGGCTTTGTTAAATGCAGCTGTTGCTCATAGCACAATGTCTATTCAGTCAATGCATCAATCTGGAATAATCACTTAGCTTTAAAACGACATTGCTGAACAATGTTAAAGGTGTCTGAGCTGAGCTTTTTACAGTAAATGTGGGAAGAAAATTTTTGGACTTAAGCTGGTGACCACATAATAGAGGGTGTCCGCTTAATATGGGGTCTGCTTAAAGGTTTCACTATATTCCGTTGACAAAACATCTAACTCAAAGTTAGACTGAGAGCAGTCTCTTTCTTTTCCTAGTGTGCAATGTAAGTACTTGCATACAAAGGAAAAGCTAGCCTGCAGTGCAGGCGTCTTATTGGAGCGAGTTACCGTTACAACCTTGCGACCGCCATGTTAGACCGCCATGTTAGACGGTGGGGGATCGGGGAGGGGAAAAAATGAGATTTTCTTCGCTCCAGCCCCTCCCCTATCCTTCCTCTTGCCTATCATTAACCCCCCTGGTAAACCTTTCTTTCTCTCTCCAGTCTTCCACTGCACGACAAATTCAAGATGGCGACTAAACTTTTTATGATGCGAGCACTCGCTCAAAAAATCTCGCCTGCTCTGCAGGCTAAGCAAAAGAAGAACGACAGAATGACGAGAAGCAGAGGTGCGGCAAGAAGCAAAAATTAAGGGTGAATCCATAGGCCACACATGAAATGCAATCTGATAATTTCCAATCCGGCCCCTAGCCAACCTAACTCAGACAATAACTTCTTTTACATGGTTGTCAACGTATCCGCTTTGAGGCTGTTGCCTAAGGAAATATTTAAGGGGCCCAAGCCAGGGGGTTTTGGAGCAACTTGGTAAATTTTGGAGAGGGGCCCCAGGGGTGTCCCCCTTCTCTCTGTTGAGATTTTCCCTGAGACACTAATATCAATCAAATTTTTGGAATCAAGCGTTCAGCGAGGGTCATGATTGAGGAAGAACATTATTTATGTTGTAATTTGAACAAAATAAATTACATTCAATAATTGGTGTATACAAGCAAGTGCTGCAACTGTTAATTATATTGTTGCTTTTGTTTTTGAGTTTTGCCATTCCAGAGAAGCCAACCTAAATAAAATTAAACCTGGGGGATCACCAATTTTTACCTTCTCGACCCTAAAAAAATGTTGTTAAAAGTAGAGCTCCTCCTATTTAGCAACAAAAATGCATCAAATATTCCAAAATTCTGCCCTGAAAAATGGTCTAAAACCAGCCAAAATAAGCACTTTCCTTGGAATTTGGGAGATTTGGTGACATGCATGCACAGGAGCTAGACCAGGAGAATGTGGGAGACTCCTGGATAATCAAATGGCAAATGATGTGCCAACCTGTCTGACCCCACCCATCCTATCTTGCTGAATTGCTTTCAGTAGGAACATACAGAGGTAAAACTAACTGACCAATGTTTGAGGTTTTGCTCATGCTGTTTGATTGGAAATGAAACATTGCAAAATGGATGAAGTCATTTAAAAAAATGCAGATCAAACCTACTGTTTTCATTTCCAAAAACTACAGTAGAACCTCATTATCTTGAACCTCATTATCTTGAACTCTGTTGTCATGAATTCCCTGCTATCCTAAAGTCAAATTATTTTTTGACCCTTCCATGTACTTTTCATTTATTAGCTATCGACTATCTCGAGCTCCTGCTATCTTGATTTTTTCGGTTCCCTTGAGGGTTCAATTTCTAGGATTCCATATACACTTAATTACTCGTCCTGTGAGAAGCAGTTAGTTTAATTTGTTTTCCTGTGAATGTCGATGTTTCCCAAGACGAAATTGAGGGAAACATCGAGATTTGAGGGGAAACAAAACTGTTTCCCAAGGGACCAGTTATCAAGTCTTTTGTTATATAGCTAAAGTTTAGTGCAAAGTAGTAAGGCAAGAAGAAGTAAAAGTAACCACTGGTTAGTGGAAGACCTGGCATAATTGTCGCCTGACAGAGCGACATTTAGATCGAGCCATTGCCTCGTGACCATAAATCAACCAATAGGAACGTGGGTTAGATTCAACTAAACTCCAGCTGTATAACAAGTGTGCTCATAAAATGATTCAGAAGATTCTCACCTGCTTCCATCTCCATCTCAGTTTCATCAAGTCGGACATCTCTTGCTTCCTTCTCCTTCTCCTTCTCCTTCTGCTGATCGTCACCAACATCAGTGTTCTCTTTCTTTTCCTCATCTTCCAGCTCTTCCTCTTCTTCTTCATCATCGCCTTCCTCTTCCTCTGCAGACTCTATGTCATCATCAGAGTCATCATCAAGCACAAAGCCTGCATCCTCCTCAGCATCACTCTCAGAATCTGATGACAAGTCAGTGATACGAACTCTCTTCCTGTTTGGACCTCTGGCCTTTCCAGCACCCGGAGCTGGTCTCTTTTGACTGCTCTTCAAAGGCTCCCCTTTGGAGAAGCTGCTTACAGTGTTTGAAAGACTAAGGAAAACATTACAGTCTGAGGGTATAGCTTCTTTGTCATCAGGCAAATCTGGAGTGCTGTTAATGTTGTCTACATCCATCTTTTCTTCCTCTGCAGCTGAAGCTGATGAAGTATTCACATTGTTCTCAGTTGCAGCCTCAGTTGTAGCACTGGGTTTTTCTGCCATTGTGGCAGTTACATCTTTTGCAGGATAACACTTTGGAAAAGGCTCTATTGTTCTTTTGGTTGGCATGCCACAATCAGCTGGTTGTTCTGTCACCTCAGCGGCAGGAGGATCACATGAACACATTTTGAGGCCTTCTGTTTGTAGCTCATCAGCATTAGTCACTCTCGCTTCCTGTTGACCTCCTGGAGACGTGCTTTTTGTCGCTTGAACAGGTGTCTGCTCCTCACTGGATGTCTTACAACTTTGATTTGTGTCTTTATCAGATGACACACCATTTACCTGGGAAGATTTTTCAGCTGTACTTTTTGCAGATCCTTTTTCCTTTTGCTGGGAGGACTTCTTAGCGGTATAAGAAATCTTAGGGGGGTTCCCACTACTTACAGCTTTTTTCAAACTGTTTATAACTATATCTGGTGCTCCAAGACCCTTAAGCATTTCAAAAGATCTTTTTTCAACAGCAATCTGACGTGGGGTCTTGCCCTGATTGTTTTTGGTTTTGGACAGTTTCTCACTGGCTGACGCAAAGTTTCCAAAGAGGTAATTCAAAGTATCAGTTGACTTCTCATCTGCCACCATAAGATGAAGGAATGTATCACCTTTCTTGTTCACTGATGATAACAAATTTTCTTCTTTCTCGGCTGAAAATTTATCACTCTCCTTGATCTTTAACAACAAAGTCTTCAAGAGAGCCCTGGAACATGAATCAGAGCTGCATTGCTTGGCACAGCAATGCAAAATTGAATCATCATTGTTGGTTTCTTTTTCACACAAGGCTTCAGGCATATACTTCAAGAAGACATCTAAGATGTGCCCAAGCATACCTTCAATGTACTCGGTGGACCACTTGGGGTTCACACCAAATGAGAAACATTGGGCCATCGAAAACAAAGGTCCCTCTTGGCTCTTTCCTGTTTTCACTGTAAGCTCAAAGCCTTTCTCGCTGACAAGATATTCCAAGGCCTTGTACTTTGCAAGGATACAAGCCCAGTGTATCAGTGGAAATTGCATTTCAACATTTTTGTCAGGAACACAATCCCCGCGAAGCCACTTTGTTTTGGTGAACTTATCCAGGGTTTTTTTGAATTCCATTTTTCCAGCTTCAGCATTATTTGCACACTTAACCAGAGACATAAGCAACTCATGATGTTTGCCTGAGTTTGAGCATCCTGATGACCCAGATTCAAGGCACAAAGGGCATTTAGATGGAGGCCAAACACCTCCTGGTGATGATGATGGTGACTTTTTACCAGACCGAGGACTTTGGGTCTAAAAAAAACAACAACAGCAACATATCAATGTAATTACAAATTACAAATTATGATAGAACTACAGTTACTAGAGTTTCACGCTTAAAGCAATCATCAGACTGTGCCCATAGCGGTGGTTGAAACAAACTTTAAACTGACTCATGGAAGGTGTGGAGTGACCCTGTTTCTGATTGGCTGCATAGAACTTATTCTCGTGCTGCCATTTCGTTACAAGTTCAGATCTGTTGGTTAGAAGTGTAGACTTGTCTGCAGATACATACATACATAAAACTTTATTTTATCTCACACTTTGAGTTTTCAGGATAGAATGCAGAGTTTTTCTGTCAAACACAAATTGCAGCGTGACAGGGTTCCCTTGTACAGACTTGCTTGTGTAATAGATCACTTGATTGAGAAATCAGTGTTATTGTCTTTCAGGTCCCAGATATGTTTTTACTTTGTTTATACATGTAATAATGGCATTATCATTTGAAGCAACTGAATGTGATATTGTGGGCTTCCTGTAGCGCAAGCATGCTTGTCACTGACCGCAATTCATCTTTGACTTACACTGAAGGGATTTCTACATCAGATGAATATGAAAAAACTGAAATTTGAATGAAAGAAATCAACTTCAAATGCCCCTTATGAAAAAAATATCTGTCAAATTAAAGTGAACTCTTGTATATTGTGCAAATTGGAAAAGCAGGAACATTTTGATTTTTCTTTGACATGTTAATTGTGACATGACTGATTCTGATTGTTATTATTTTGATTATCCTTGGAGACCCAGGAACTACTAGTTGGGACAATGCAATATTTTTGGGTGAGCAATATTTTTGGGCAAAAGTTTACAACTCTCCTGCTCTTGTTGTAAACTTTTGCCCGAAAACATCACTTGCCTGAAAATATTGCACTGTCCTGGGTCTCCGAGGATGTATTTTGATTTGAATTGGTTCTATAATATTTCTTTTAGCTCAACATTTAGCCAAGGATGTCTTATTTTCTAAAGTTTGTTTAAAAAGAGTCTTGTCCAAGAACAGAACATGATAACCCTGGCCAGGGTTTGATCCCAGACCACTTGATCCACAGTTCAACCCTTAAGCCCCCATGCTTTCTATTTAACAATTAGATTATGAGCTTGAGAACACATCAACACTTAAATAAAGTGATTATTATTATTATTATTATTATTATTATTATATTATTATTATATTATTATAAACACTCCTCTTTTTTTTATTAAAAAAAATATTATTATTATTATTATTATTATTATTATTGAGATTTATATCACATGAAAATTGACAAGGGTGCAGTCAAACTCGATGGCCAGGCATAGAAATCCAGAGCACATAATTTATTTGTTTTAGTATAAATCTTTTAGTCATTCAAAACTTTATCTAAATCCTCTTCACAGACACTTTGAAAATGTAAATGTCCTAACAACCACACACTGCTAGGCTACTCCCCATCCAATACAGGACAGTGAGTGGTGTAGCTAATAAGAGAGCAGTATTTGCGATAGAATGCTAATAAATTTATACTAATATATGTGTGGACTTAAAACACATTTATTTGTGGCTCCTGCACTTATTTAACTTCTACATGCATCAAATGTCATACCACTGTACATAATGGCCAACTAGTTAGGACATAAATGATTAATGTGCAATAAACAAGCATGAAAATGTTGATCATTAGCAAAGAATTGAACCCCAGTCTCCTGGGATCATTTTTACTAAAGACATCTGCGGTAGAGTGTCTCTGGATACCCTCAATCAACATTCCATCAACATCTCCATCTACACAAGATCGACATCTCAGTCACCACTTCGTTGGCATCAAATTGACCATCCATTGAAATCTTGATCGACACTTGATTGACACTCAATTGCCAGTTGGTCACTGGTTGGCAGAGTGTTGACTGACTCATATGTATTGATCGACACTTGATGGCGTGTCTGCAAAAATTAGTGGACTGTCCACCAACTGTGGACTGAGATGTCAATCAACTGTTGACTGAGTGTTGATCAAGATGCTGAGTGTTGGTCAACTAAGGGTCAATTGGGGGTATCAAACAACACTCAACCACGGATGCCTTTAGTACACATGATCCATCTCCTGCTTACAAGGCAAATGCGATAAACACTACAACACGTGTGAACTGACAGTGCCAGTGCAATAGACAAATCATAATTTACTTATTACATAATTGGGATCACAAAGTAAATCACACAGAGTATCCACACAAACTCGCAAATTATGCATGAAACTGACGGTAAGATTTGGCTTTACTTCACTTAGCATCTATGTAAAGACCGGTCATATCAATGGGGTGGAACAAAACACATTAACTATGACCAGAGGAACGATAATATGCTACGTGAACATACACCAAAGATCAGTACTCGCCACTGTACAATTTATTTTCGCACAGCATCTTATCCGAAAAGCCATGTCACACAGTGTCACACCACTAGATTTTACGAGCTCTAAACACGGGCACACATCTTCATACTGACCTTTGAAGTTTTCTTTGTAGCCATGAAATTGTAACACGCGTTATATTCGATTCTACACAGCGATCTTCCAATTTCGAGACAGATCTGTCGCGAACGCGAAAATGATGGCAAAAGTCTAGTACCAAATCGTCACAAGCATGGACACCACTTGCATACACTGTCGAACGAAAATCTATCCCATATTAATCCTTCCACGCGCCACGTGACAAAAAACGCGCCAAATTTAATTATAGCGACAAAAGCGCATTTTGTGGTTACAGTTCTCCAGAACGAATCAGCACTTGCTACGATTTAAGCGTAAAAAACTACAATCAACGACATAAATCGTAGCATCTCTTACTTTGTTCAAGAGACTTAAGATGGAATTAATTCAACTGACTTGAATTACCCCGTTGTTTAAAGACCAGAGCCTGGAACCGGATGCGTGAAACTCGATTTCCACCATTTTTTTTTGGCTATAAGTCGTTCAATATCCGAAGGCCGATCGATAAAGGTCGCTGGTATAGAACGGGCGTTAAACAATGAACAATGATTTGTTTTATAAGAGGCTTGCAAACCGACCTTATTCACGTGGTCCTCTTTCGGTTGGCTCAGTTCTTCCGCTGTAGCTAACCAGGCTAGCATGTTTCAAACCTGCTTGCTTCCTTTTACCTTGCTAGTCCATTCGAGGTGATTCGTTCCTCAAACGTCTGAATCGTTATAAACGTAACTTGGAAAATTTCAATTATTTTACTCTCAGATGGCTGTCGCTGACTCGTGTGACTGAAGGCTCCAGGAAAAGACTAGTGTCAAAGTCCATGACCAGGCCTGGTCCATGACTGAAAGATAATGAAGTACCATTGGTCTCGTTATAGAAGAAGCATGTCACCGTCAAGGTGATCAGTAGCGAATCTAGGAGAGGGGCCCGGGGGACCGGCTCCCTCCTTACTTTGGGTATAAAAAAAATCGCAGAAGAAAGAAAAGCCGGCAGGCCAGGGCAAGCAAAAAAAAAAAAAACCCGAAAAGAGTCTGAAAAGGTTAAAAGTAAAAACTGGTGAAATTAAAAAAAAAAAAAAAAAAAAACCCGAAAAGAGTCTGAAAAGGTTAAAAGTAAAAACTGGTGAAATTAAAAAAAAAACAACAACAACAACAGGTAGTCGAATTATTTTGGTTCTACAACTTTTCGAAAGTTTGGTTTCCTGCGTTGCATAACGTACGTAATAAGTGCGCTCGGTCAATATCAACTGTAGCACTCAGGCCAACATGACTAATAAACTAAGAGCTAGCCAGAAACTAAGTCGAGCTTTTTTTATTAGCGCGCCATCAAGCTTAGTAGACCTAGCGAATTATTTTGAGAAATAATTGGTTTTTACTTATTATATTTTATCAACTTAATAAATGTAGATGTAGATTACGTTTATTTCAAAGCTAGATTAACACATAATGCTTCACGTCATCACAGTTCTCTTGGGTAGTAATTAAGTCAATCTGGGAAAAGAATCACTTTTATGCCAATAGCTCTCTTGTGACCGGTTTTTGTCAGTTTGTTGTTAGCATGCAAATTTTTTGCTATGTGCTAAGAAGAATGTAATTATTATTGATGCTCGACGGTATCTTACGAAACCGTTAACGTGAAATTCCATCGGAAAACGAACCATTGAAATGGTGTTTTTATTATCAGTTAAAAGGAAGCCATTCCAAGGATTGCAAAGGTCTAGAAGCCAGTGTATATCCACGTGAAGCGTGCAGAGGGCTTAGTTTTCTATGGATGTGTATGGATGTGTATCATCACCGAATAGTTAAAAATTGTGAATTTCAACTTTTATCAGGCTGCATTGTTCACGAAAGAGAAACTTGTACCAAATCAGTAGTCAAGGGGTTAAAGAAATCATCACAACTTGGACGAGGAAAAGTGTGAAGGCGGATGTAGAAGATATAAGAAATCACTCCAATTAACGAAACCGAAATATAAAAGACAAAAAATATACAAACAAAAACAAAGAACATTCTTCGCTACCGGACATCGATAATTGCGGAATAAAGAGAAAGGTAAGAATTTGACGGTTATATTAAATGGAAACAAAACTTTTCACTAGAAAAAGTTTCTCCGCCGTTCCGTGCTTGAAAGTGCCATTTTCAAGCGACAATGAAGTTGCCAAGGGAACTGGAAGAGCGCGAAGTGGAAGCCGTGTTATATTTTTGGATGAAAATGGCAATGAAAACAAAGAAGAAAGCCAAGAAACAGCGCTTATATACAAGAAAGGCAGGAAGACCTCCAAAGAGGCAAGGGAAACCCAAAGAGGGAGTGCTTTGTTGCTTAGAAGGCGCAGTTCTTCGCTTGACGCAGCGAAGTTCATGGCGTACTATGTCAACAGAAGGAAAAGCAACTTGCGCAGGGACCACTTTTTGCGTTCGTTCGGGAAAACCACTCTGAGATACCCAAACTTGAAGGAGGAAGACATTATGGAAGATCTGGATGCCGAGAACAACACGCTAGCATACCCCGCAGTTGACGATGCAGTAGAGACGTTTCTTAACGACTCGGCGTATTCATTCTTACGCAGAACCGCTTCTGCAGGACCAGTCTTGGTTCGCCAGGCTTCTGCGAGGGGATGCACTACGCCAGAAAATTTACTTGAGCTGCGAGGATCTGAGTACACCGGAGATAACCCAGACTGTGATCTAACAGCCGCGATAAGAAAGCAATCGGCGAAGAGACGCGTCAAGCGTATCATGGAAGCTGAGAAAGAGCGAGCAGAGAGAGGAAAACTTGAGGAGGAACAGAGGTTGAAAGAGAAAGAGAGAGAGAAACAGAAAAAACGACATAATCTTCGAAGCGCAACTTTTGCTGTCATGGCTACCAACGTTTCTTGCGCAGGATTTAACTTTAAGTCTTTCTCAGAGAAGAAAAAATGGCTGACGGAGAAGAGATTGTGGACCAGGCAAATAGTAAGTAGTTTTGTGCCTTAACGTGCAATAATTATAACTTATCATGACCTGACAGTAACTGCCTCACTACATGGAATTGGAAGGTATAAATACTAATTGATACGAGCCTTTCAATATGATAAGGTCTGAATTCAAACCCAGTGAAGTACCAGGTCGGCAACTAACTCTGGTTTAAACCGGTTGGGTTCCCCTGGATTGATAATGGAAGGAGAGTCCATCATAGGGTTATCATCCATTATCTTCGCCAGAACTCAATTATACTCCTGGATGGGTGAGTAGAGACACTGTGAGAGTAAGGTGTCTTGCCCAGGGACACAATGCAAGGACCGAGAAACTATCAACGTAAAAAGATTATTGCTGACGAGCATTTTAATGTTTGAAGTTCCAATTGATCTCAGATCTTTACCAGTTGCTGTAGAAACATGGAAATTTTACGCTATAAGTATAGTGGAAGAGATCAATATCTCGACCTTTGATTCGGGCTTAGCTTATCCCACGGGTTTATAAAGCTGGTCTTTCACCTAATCAGTCGACAAATCCACAAACCAACGTAAAATACAGGCTTGAGGGGACTTATAACTTAGTGGGTCTTATATCGTAGAAAAGAACAGCAGGGACAGAGTGGGTGAAGGAAATGGGCATATCATAACGGCTTCGAAAGGGTGGGGGTGGGGGAGGAGGCAAAACAATCAAATTACACTTTCTTGTGAAACTGCTGATTGGCCTATTATATTTAGGTTTCGTATTTCCTAGCTCGAAAGTGCCACCTTAAGTGTTACAGTTCCTCACCTCAGAAAGGTTTAACATACTTGCGACTCCGACATAACGATGTTCCTAAACACGGCTCAATAAAATTAAGCCACACTTAATTCCATTAGCTGACATACATGTATGTAAACACTTATTTAAATTTCAACACTGAACACTTATTCACTTAAAACCTTGACTCATCAAGTGATTGTGTTGGGTTCTCACAGGCGAGTGCTAAATTTCGCTGGGCGGCTCGGGTAGTGATTGTTCTTTCCCGTGTATTGAAGGCCCTAGTGGACTACTCCGCTGAACTGATACCCGAGACCGCGGCGCAGAGGTCGTTTCGAACTCTGCGCGACAACTCCGAAGTCAAAGAGATGCTTTTCAATAAGTCTCTGTACCAGAGAGGAAAGTCGGTAAGGTTATGTCTGTTAATGATCATATATAATTATATCTAAGGCATCACTTAATGACCTCAAGTTGTGCGTTATACCCGCGAGCTTTTAAAAAACGATGACGTCACGATGATCACGTGATTTCCCTGCCCGAGTTTTCCTCAAACACAAATCCAAAATGACCGGTGACAAGAGATTATGATCCTGAGGGAACACTTGCCTGTGATTGTTGCGTTTTCAAATTTCTTCGGCGAAGTCGTGGAGGGAAAACATTTAATGCATTTTAAGAGTGAAACCTCCGTTTTCAAATTTCTCCGCCGCAGTGTGGACGGGGCCTTAAATCAGGATACCCTAAAACACTAATGCCACAGGTCTTCCCTCAGGGGTTTTCGTGCCCGGCTTTGGTGCTCTTTGCTTTCAGACTTCAATTATAGTTTGCGAATCCGTGTAACAGGAAACCACATCAGCCCTAGCTGGTTTCCATGCCGATCCTCTATATGGAAATGTTGGTTTTTCAGGAGGGAGGAAAACCGGAATAGGCGGAGAAAATCCTCGGAGCAAGGCGAGAATCAATAACAACAAACTCGACCCTCCTATGGCCTGTATGGTACCGGCCGGAATCGAACCCAGGCGAGTGCTCTCGCCACTACGCCATCCTCGTTTATTTTTGTTTATTTATATTTCACACAGCAATATGCGTATGTTCCCGAATGGGCCAAGAAGATCTTGATGAAATCAGCCATGGAGAGGTCTGAGAACGAGCTGAGTCAACTCCACTCCATGCTCAAGGGTCTGACGTCATATGACAAATTTACCTACCGTATTCAGCTGGCCATGTGTAGAGCCATGACTTTCCTCAAGTAAGGACAGTAACAAGGCGAAGAACTTAGAAAAATCCACTTAGTGAAGCACTACTATAACTTAACGTACAGAGTCAAAAAATAATCGAGAATTGAAGAACGAAGCAAAAGGTCAAACAACCAACACGGCGACCACTGACCGACCGATCGATTGATCAGTCAGTCAGTCAGTCAGTCAGTCAGTCATTCAGTCAGTCAGCCACTCAGTCATTCTGTCAGTCAGCCAATCAATCAATCAATCAATCAATCAATCAATCAATCTATCTATCAATCAATCAATCAATCAATCAAAAGCTCGGGAAGCAAGCGGAATGGTCGCAAGCGATTATTTCCTTTTGGCTTCGAATGACTTCAAACTTTCTTTCAATGGTTTTCGGCCGATGATAAAAATTAAGATACTCGCGTCCTTCGAATTATCATTCTAGTTTGGTACCGTGCTAAACAATAAAAAAAACTTCACTGCTGAGATTTAAGAAACAGTTTCTGTCATTGGCACCGCCTGTTCCTTTCGGTTTTGTTCTGTTCATATCAAGCACTTAGAGAACGAAAGGAAAATACGGCTTATGTCATAGAATACCATTAAAACTTTTTTCTACAAGCGTTATTCAACACCTGCACAAAGAACGAGAAAACCTTGTTCTCTGTGACAATGTTACTAACATGATTTCATCCCATCAGAACACTTGTATGGTCAATAAAACATTCCCTACGCAATCTCTCCTCATAGGGTGGAG